CAGAGTGCCCTCTTGCACTCCGGGAACCCTCGGGCGATGTCGGACTGCCAGTTTTGGCCCTATCCCCACAGGCCAGGCTGAGGGACCCCACCTGCTGGAGGGACCCTGCTCACTCCACAGATTCCCTTTGAGCCCTGGTGCCATCCAGGTGTGGCCGGTCAGGGAGGGACCGCGGGAGGTTGGCTCCAGGGTGTGTCCAGCCCATCTTGCCCAGTCCCGCCCTGCCAGCCACTTTCTAATTAACTTCCTTTCAATATGCACGAATCCATGCACCGGGCCACTAGTACAAAATAAAAAGTCTGAAAGACATAGTGTTTACAAGTGAGGAGGGAAATAGCCTTGGGAAAATGGTGACTTTTTAATCTTTCTGATTTTTGTCTTTAAACAATAAGGATATAATCATACATCATGTTTATAAATATTTTAAAAGGATCTGGAAAATATAGGATAAGGAATGAAATAAAAAACACCTAGAATCCCACCACCAGAGACTAGCACTGCTAACAGTTCCTGTGGATTTCCTCCCAGACCACATTTCTTTGCAGCCAGGTGGGTGCTGGCACTGATCCTTGAGTAGTAGAAACAGCAGTGGAGCCAGTTTTGGTGAAGGTGGTGCATCTCTCTGGGGGCATGTGGAAATGGTATTGCCTGTGGGACAGTGAGATGGTGATAGCCAGTCAGGAAAGGGACACGTGGGCATGGAGCTCAGGGGAGCTGATGATCAACTCACAGTATTAATGCTTTCTCTTTCAAGTGATGAATTTGAATATTCGTGTGTCTGACACAAATAAAAATGTAATTCCTTGTGGCAGCAGATCTTGCTGCCCTGCTGTTCCCTATCCCTATCCCAGATGTAGCATTTTCTAGTTTTGTCCCTCTTGGGAAAAACGTTTAAATGAAGAAAAGCCTGTTTTTTCATCTACAAAATGAAGATCATGTTACTGTCCTTGCACACTGCTACAAAAATTAAATGAGTCTGAGTAAACCCCTAGCACTGTCCTGAATGCTTACTTGGCTCTCAGAATTTGTTTTAGTTTTCCGACTGTTACCTGAATATCACAGCTAATTTATTTATTTTTGATTAGCAATAAAAGAGAAAAGGATGTATTGGCTTGGGAAATCCTTATGTGAAATTAACACAGAAATTTAGTTTTTTTTTCCAAATTCATTTTAACCTATTTTTGATCTTTCATAACTTGTTTTGTAGATTACCTTACAGCTACTCATTACTCTATAAAGTTTTCCTAGGACTTTGGTCAAAATCACGACTTGGTAATCAAAAGGAAATAAATAAAAAATGTCTCACCTCACAGAACCAATTATAGTTATTCCCAATAACTTTTTCCTTTGGCGTTGGCGACCCTCAACTGAGGAGGATATTAATAACCTGCTCATGTTGGAGCTCCAAGCTCAGCCCCGACAAAGAGTTACAGAACTCACAGAACTCCCCTCAACTGGGATTTGAATTGCTCGTCAGCACTGAGGTCACTGTCACTGTTAAATGACAGATGTTTTCCTGAAAATCCCCTGCATCTCTTCCTGTGATAGAAAGTTCAGCGCTGGCAACAGCAGGGTGGTGTTCTTTAATAACTGTTAACTTTATTCTTTAGAGAGTTTGTAAAGATGTCCTATTGTTCCGGGAGGACTCCCTCGACACCCACGCCTGCATTATCCTTTTGCATAATGCCTACAATTTAGAGCCACCAGGCTCCCTGTTGCATAGCTCCTGTATGCTTGGTTCAGTATAACCAAAACACTCATAAATCTCCCTTTCTTCCAGTAGCTTTCTGCAGCAGCTGGGGTATGACAGCCTTGTCCCTGATCTGTAATTCCGACAACTCCAGGGTGAACTGGCAGACCAATCCAAAGCTACTACGTCAGATAAAGTGATGCTGTTTGCACAACTCAGTGTCCTCAAGAGATATTCATGTAATACCCCCGATTTGTATTCTGCATGAAACTCCTTTTACAAGACATAAACTTCCCATAGGGAGCAAACGTAGCCAGCTAAAAGATGCTGAACATATGACTGTGTAATGTAATTTTAAACTCAGAAGGAATTGGCTAGGCCTTTTCCATCTTAGAAGCCGAAAGCTATAAAAGAACCCACGATTTCTTTTTTAAGTATAACATTCTTAATTTTGGGATTCTAATCGAGCCATGTTCTAATTCTAATCAAGCAATGCTAGTCATATGACAGATTAATATAAATATTTGAATTGTATATATCATGAGATTTGAGTACTCAGATTTATCACAAAAAACTAATTGATTTATTATTTGTACCTAATTGACTTACATTTGAAGCAGCTAATTAAATGATTTCTGTTGTCACATTAATTGCACTAGAGAAACTTTGACTAAATGATGTATTTGTGTTTTATTTGCATGGTACTTGCTAATTCTCTCATTCTCGATCAGGGATTCTCCATCTTGGCCTGTTAATATTTGGGTTGGAGACTTGGTTGTGGGGGCCTCTTCTGTGCCTTAGAGGATGTTCGGCAACATCTGAGTTCTCTACGTAATAAATTCCAGTGGCACACGCCGTCATGACAGTCATTGACGAATGTCCCCTGGGAGGCAAAATTCTGCCCAACTGAGAATCATCAGTCTAGATCAAAGTAGTTGGGTGTGGGGTTTGAACTCTAAATGTTCCTTTTGGAGATATTGGGATTTTTTTTTTTTAAAGCTAACTTAGATTCAGCAATTCTAGGAAGCATTCCTGGGTTTCCTTGACCCTCTCTTCCTCTACACACAGATAAGCCATGCTCTACCTTTCTCTCTTCACTCTGTGCTCTGGGCCTCGCTTTCCAGAAGGGATATTGTTTTCTTTGTTCCTGTCTCCAGCCAGCACAGTGCATGGCACAAGGAAGAGGCTCAAAAAAATGAGCTGGCTGGAAGAATGACTGTTACCCGTTATTTTTCTCTGGGAAGTATATGTCTCTAAATACAGACCTTTGTTTAAAAAAACAGATGTGTCCAGCTACTTTATTTTGCTTTGTGTCATCTGTTTAATTTTTATAAGCC